GCTTTTTTTTTCTATAATAGAGTATTGGACTATTTTATATTAAAGTCCTCCATATGTTCTAAAATTCCATAATTTAAATGAACTCATTTTAATCTAAAAAATTAATACAAGTAAGTAACTTCTAAAAATGAGAATAGCTGCAATTATTCCCAGAGTAACATATTTTCAGGAAGTGATTCAAAGCTAGATGTGGTTGAATTGCTAAACAGCTGCATTTGCAAAAGTGGGCGATAATTAAGTTGTTACGCTCAACCCTTACTAAATATTAATGAATTCTCCATGACTTTGAATCAAAAGGATTTGCTCCATGAGAGATTCTGACTGGGCTGTGGGAATGGTGAATCATCTCCTACTCGGAGGTGGTCCTTTCCAGATCCAACGTACCCAGACACACCACCAGGAAATTTATCTGTGGTTGACTGTGTTGTACTTGGCTTTTAACTATCCTCCCTTCCCCCAACAAAAGGAACTTTCAATATTGATATCACCGCGCTTTAGCCTGCAGGAGCAAAAGATTTTCTCTGAGGAAAAGAGTTTGACATTAAAAAAATAATGCACTCAGCCAAGGTTTCAGTCATCTGAATGCACTCGCCATTTGTGTGGCTTTAAATCTGGCTGCACACATGCCGGGACCAAGGATCAGAAATGCATGTGGGTAGCAGAAGCCGGTCAGTGTAGTCTCCTCTACTCCCTTTTGTTGTTTGTTTTTGTAACACATGTTAGGCACCAAGGAGACAAACAAGGATAAAATGTTTTTCTCCTTTCCCATCTGGTTCTCTGCCAGAGATACAAAGCCCAACCAATGCATCGATTTCAATACTATGACTGCTGGGGAACTCCCCTCTGTTGTTCTCTATTCTTCACCATTCTTCTTCTTAAAAAAAAAAAAAAAATTCCCACCAATTATAAAGCAACATAGTCCAGTAAAATACAGGATTATTTCTGCATAATCCGTTCCCAATTCCTGGTCATTAATACTGTACTTGTGCAATAACACCTTTTGTGCCTTATATCATAGGAATGTAGTTTGAAATAAGAGCCATATATTCACAGTATTTTGAACTGCAGAAATTAAAAATACAGATAGTTTTTGGTGTACAGATGAGATCTGTTCCATGAATTAACTGAAAGTTCTGCTGTTTGGAGTTCAGAATACATTTTTCATAGAAATAACTTTAAAAATGGTGGATAGGACCACAGGTTAGGAGGGAGAGAGAGACAGGTGGGAAAGAGAGAAAGGAGTGGAGGGAGGTAAGGAGGGAACTGGGAGGGAGGGAAACCTAAATTAAAATACAACGTAAATTTCACACATTCTTTAGCATGCAGATGTTCATCACTTAATAGAAAATGAGAATCTCTTAGAAACTGGGCGGCAGGGAGGGAGGCAAGGACTGTCTCTTTCAGGTGTGTAAACCATGTGTCTAATAGGGAGATGACCATGGCACCTGTCCAATGGAGGGATACAACTTTGCTGTGTGCTAACTTTGGCGCAGCTTTCGTTTCAAGAGGGTACTGGATGCCACAAGCTGAAGATGTTGTGGCCACCCCAGTTGTTTGTATTTACACAGCAGGCATAAATTGAGTGTTTTCATGTCAGAGATAGGCAAAACATAATTAAAACCTGCTAGATAAATATTTTTGATTTATAAGTATGTTTGGGACTTTGGAGATCTATAAATATTTTCAACTGGCTTAGTAAGCATTACTGTACATTACTAGCAATTTATTTTATTTATATTTTTATACTAAAATATTCAAATATTCAGAGAAATAGAGGGAATAACAATGAATTTACATATCTTCATTATTTTGATTAAAAAATCAGGATTTTGATTCACTTGCATTAGCTATCCCTTTTTTTCATTGCCAAAGTATTTTGTAGCAAAATTTAGCTCCCCTGTCATGTATACTTCAGTAATACTATTCTAAAAAACAATCGCATTTTCTTACACAATGACAACACCATTTTAACTCCCAATAAAAACAGTATTAAGCAGTCTCATCTCCTTATGTTTTTTTTTCTCCCATAGCACCAACTTATCACTCAATTCACAATAGTCAGTGGGTATTTTTTCCATTAAGTAGCATTTAACTCATTCTTTGATTCCACATGTACCCTCTAAATGGAAGTTAACTCTAAAAGTGAGTTATTTCTTGAAATGTTATAACAATGTATTGATTTTGTCATTGGTAGGCTCTAACAAATCTGTTTAGATTGTAATTAAAAGAAAATAAAACTTCCCATTATCTGCCATGGTTGATGGAAGAATGAATAATATATTTGAGGATAAAAATTTTTCGAAATTACAATATTATTCGCATAACATAACAAATATCTTACACTTGGGCTACTGTGCTTTTTTATGACACCTGTTTGGTTTCTATTGTCCTTAGAATTCGTAGACTCTGGAATAGGGGAATCTTAGTGAGAAATGTTGACGGGGACAATAAAAAAGTTAGGGACCAGATTTTGAAGTAATGTTAATGGCAACAAAAGGCCCCTTTACATATTTGACTTTGAATTGTGCCTTTAAGATGGAATGGTAGATGGTACATCTACAGGTAAGAGATGATGTAGGATTCTATTTGAATACACAGACTCTCCCTACTTCAGTCAATAACTGCTGCAATAGTAAGTGGTTGCTACATGGCTGATTACAGGGTGAAACCAACTCCAGAAAACTTACATAACACAATGTCTTCCCTCCTGTAGTTATGCTCTTCTAACATAAATAGTCAAAGCCATAGTTGAAAGGCAAAAACATAAAACAACATGAAACCTGAGAGAAGTGTCCCTGGGCAGTAGGGGTATGTATTATAAATATGGTAAGATTCCTAATCCTCAGAAGAACATTATTATGTAGATATTGTTATTATTTCTATTTTAAAGATGAGAAAACTGAGCTGTAAAAAGCTTAAATTATTTCCCCCATATGACATAGTAATCAGTGGAGGATCTCGGAACTGAACCAAGGCAGTCTAGCTCTTAACCATGTTACTGTACTGCCTCTCAGAATAAAGTTATGGGATTATTATTGGCTTTATATGAGTTCCAAGATAGTAGAGAAACTTCTTCCCATTCTCTGATGCCAACCCTGAAACTTGCTATATCTCTTAAATCATGTGTCTTTCTAATGTGAGTATTTGTGTATTATATATGCATTTAATAATAACTATGTTTATAAATATTCCTTTTGTTTGAAACAGCTCATCCCTAACCTTGGTTTTTTGGAACTGATTCTTAATACTCCTAGCCATCATAGAGTTCATCATGGTAAGAAAGTTTTATTTCTTTCCATCTTTCTTTCTTTAAAAATTATATTATTTAATATTATTTTGCCTTACTTCATTTCATCACAATAACCCAATATAGTCAGCATACATTGTATAAATAGATATAGTTTCTTTTATATGTCCTCTTATGTAAGTGTCATCTCCAAAGCATGGACCCGGGGGAGGGATTCTCTATCTGGCTTTTGGATTTTCCTCTTTACCTAGATCGCAGCTCAGTTGTATTGGAAAAATAGTCAATCAGCTGAGGAGATATACATTTTATGTTTTGAAGGAGTCTGTTGAATGCTACTCCTTGACCCAGTCCCGGGGGTTATTCCTATCTACCAGACAGAGAGTCCTTGGTCTTGGAAACTGCTGGTGTTTAAGGAGACCCTAATAAACAGCATTTCGCTTTCCTGTCTAATTTCTATGAAGAACTGTGAGAAAAAGCATACATATAGTTTGAAGGAAATCTTGCTCTTTTTTTGTAACATTAACTTAAAAATAAATAAAGTATAAACTCCATTCCTAGTGAAAAAAATCTAGTGTGTCAGTGAGATGCCATTCCCAGGAAAATCATTCTGTCACTTAAATCTTAATTATATGAATGTGTTCTAAGAAACAAGACAAAGAGACTATTTCAAAAAGCATAACTTTATTTTTTGAAAAATTATTTTTCAATATTTTGTCTCATAGGCAGAAATCATTATTGCATAGACAAAAATTATGCTGGTGTTCTTATTATTTGGGATAGAATTTTTGGTAAGTCAACAATATGAATATTTTTAAAAAATAAATTAGTTCTTTCATTCACAGAAAGCCAAAGATCGTATCTTTAATATTTATCTTCCAGGGACCTTTGAAGCAGAAAATGAAAAAGTTGTATATGGTCTAACACATCCCATTAATACATTTGAACCAATGAAGGTGCAGGTAATGTAATTGGTTTTATTCTTTCTGAATTTATATCATTTCATAAATCTCATAGTTAAGAGAAAAATTAGCTGTTGAAAGGTGAAAGTAAACTATGCTACCTTGAAAAAAAAACTGTAAAAGAATTTAGAAATAACTCTTGTACTCAAGCAAAAGTTTGAATCAAATCAGGCAAAATACAATCAAAAACAACTAATTATATGAATTTTCAAAATGTCTGCTACATAAAATGAAAAAAAAAGTGACTCTTTAGCAAATATGTTCTTTCTCAGACCTGAAATATATTCATATATTCAGAAGGAGAAATAGTAACATATATAATTAAGGCTGATCCCACAGTAAGAAAAATATTTGCTTCAAGCCTGCATGACTCTGGTTACAAATTCAACACAAGGCCTTTGCCCCACACTTCTTGGACTTAAGTGTCAGGAGCTATTAGAGATTGGTTAGGTCTGCACATTACCTCACCTGCTAAGACTTGTTGGACTGAACCAGTTTTCTGTTAGACATGTGGTATTGGTTGTTCACTGGCCTCAATGGTTGGCACTAGAGAGATGAGGAATGTCTGTGAAGCTCCAATCCGTCAGCATCAGACCACCATAAATACTCCCGGGGTTAGGGACTTGTAAATGAGAACAAGATAAGAATGCTTGCAAAGCTGAAGAGGTCAGTCAATGACAGCTCTGTGCAAGAGACTGGTTACAGCAAGTGACAAAATTAAAGGTTGATATTGGGTCTGCTTTTCAAACCTGCTTCAAGTTTTCACAGGAGCTTGAAATAAATTAATTGACATCTGTTGAGCTTGTACCACGTGCATGGCACTGCTAATAGCCCAGCATAAAATATTTAACGTAACCATCACTAAAACCTTATGAGGTAGTGGCTCTTTTTGTTCTCATTTTCTGGTGGAGGAAACTGAGGTTTTCAGGATTTCAATAATTCACCCAAGTTCACACCACTTGCCAACTGCAAACGTAACCAAGGTGAGTTGCAGGCTAAGGCCAAGCCTCACCTAGTTTAGTTTATACTTTGTGGTGTGCTGCCTCTACATTAAAGGCCATAGCAAATTGCCATCACTTGTTAGGTGAAAGGCATTTTTTTCTTTTCATAAACAAAAAAAGAAGTTGATTATCTTTCTTCTTCTCAACTACATGGAATTTCTCTCTCTGTCTCTATCTTGGTTATGTGTCTCTGAGAAGAATACGGACAATTATTTTTGGATATATTTTTTAATAATAAGCTTTACAGAATTAAAAACTAATTTAGAAATAGTTCATTGAAAGCTTGAAGACTCCGTGTTTCTAACAAACTCCTAGGTGATGCCAAGGCCGCTGGTTGACAGATGATTCTTCCAGTAGCAAGGCTTTGGGAGTCTACACTCTTGCTCAGGATAAAGGGCTGCATATTTGAAACAGATTAAGAGAGTGAATATTGAGTATCATGAGAGCTGTACAAATAGTTGGATGATTAGGATTAAGAGAAGAACAATAGTCAGATATTCACAGGTATTTAGGAGCCACTGCTGAATCTGTATTAGGTGTTTACACTCACATAAACATTTCCTTCACAAGGAGGGTCTAAGGTTTAGTCTTCTGCATAATCGCACTTATTATCAGAAATCTCAAGTCAGTAAGTTGTGATAACCAGGAGTACTTGAACCTAAAAAACATAGTTACTTTCACTTATGTTTCTTCACATACCTGGAAATTTCTCACCTATCCCTCAGAGGGATCAAAGGATGGCTTCCAGTAGACAGAGGGTTTTTTTTTATCTGTCTGTTTTCCTTATTATTAGGCATATTATTAATATGATATGTTTGTCTATAACACAATACAGTAAATAGAGGATTATGTTTTAAATATTTAAATAGATGTTCAATCTTTATATGTTTCCATGTTCAACCTTAGCAGTTTAAATTCTGCAAATGATCATTGACTATGCTCTCCTTTGGGGGTCCCAGAGTTACAGGGCATTAGAAAGTAAATACTTAAGAAAAAACTTCTTATTTTGAAACATTGCCAGATATTTCTCATGGTTGATGTCCAGAATGATAGAAATGAAATTTCAGTCACATTTCAAAATAACAAAATAGATAAGTATATTAATGTGTGTTGTAACTCCTAAACACATTAATTTTATGTATTATTATTATCATTGCAAAGCCCCAGGCTAAGTTTCCATCTAACATGTTCATTTACCTCAAAATCTATTCCATTAAGTTCTACATTGCTCCTTAATTGCTTCAGATTCCTTATTGTAATATTTCAAGCAATTTTTACATCTATTTTTATAATCCTACAGATTTAAATTCTTCAAAAGACAATGAAAATACCAGCAAGAGCACACATTCTGATAGAGCCAAAACTTCTTCCTCCAGTAATTCATTTCTACACTTATGAGAGAACTCACTTCTAGAGTCTATAGCTGATGTACAACCCCTAACAGTATTTTAACTCCTTTGGTGCTTTATGATCACAGATATGACATACATAGCTCATTTTGCTAATAGCTAATTTTTTGAGCACTTATCACATGTGGTCATATTTTTAACTTTTATACAGGTCAAATGCATGTTATTTAAAGAATGTGAATTCCTGCTATGAGATCCGAGGCAAACTTCTGCCTCAGTCAGAAAACTTTTCTGTTTCTAATTACAGAATATGGACTATTTAATACTCAGAAGTCTACTATTAGAAACGACTTTGACCATTTTTTTAAATATGATGTTTGCCTATAACACAATACAGTAAATTTTCATGTTTGAAATATTTAAACTGATGTGCAACCTTTATATGTTTCCATGTTCAATGAAAAAGTGTTAGAGAAGGTTGTCGAGTGTATAGGCTGCTAGTTAATTCCATTGGAAATAAAGTCTCTTAACTCATTTTTTCTACTTTGCTGATTTTCTAAACAATTGCACTGTTTTTTAGTTTTAAAATTATGATTTTTTTGAACATTAGAAATATTAATAAGAACACACTTAAAGGTAAGCAGAATGTGTAAAATGAATTACAGTAGAAATGCAAGCACATGTTAATCTCCATTAATCTAATCATACATAACTTATATTAAAGAAAATACATACATTATATTAAACAATAAAATAGATGATTCTTTTGTATTTAATCTTTTTGTGTTATATTTGTCGGGTTTTAAATAAGCTCTACTTTTATGTTTTCTAGTTCCACCATTTATTTTACATATGGACTGCATTCTGGGCCACACCTGGATTCTTTCATAAGTTTTCTGTAATATTTAAAGGACCAGGATGGGGTCCAGGTAAACCAAGACTTGGACTAAGGGAAGAAATCCCACAGGTAAAATAGAGTTCATGGAGTTGGAGATGGTGAAGATTAGTCTCATAGTGTCAGGTCAGCAGGCAGCTTGTATTAATATATAGGCTGTCTTCATGCAAATCTGTACGAAGGTATTTCGCTAGTCAGATGCAGCCCTGTGGCATATAACTTAATGAGTAGCCACCACCTAGATGCCAGTCAGAAGAAGATCTTGTCCCAAGTGGACACTGCCTCTTATTAGGGAGCACAGTTTGTGAAGTGTAGCAACAGAGGCTGGTTTTCAGATCCACTCAAAC